AATGGGCTAGATTTCAAACTTCAGAGACAAAAAAAGAGCTTTTTTAAGTAGAAAGACTAAAAAGGGGCTTTTTACTAAAGTAGAGTGACCAAAATAGGGATTTAACCTTTAGAATTACTATTTCATGATGAATATTTATTATTGTTCTTAAGTAATGTTTTTTAATGCTTGATCACTATTAAAATTGATATAAGAGTATAATTGATATGAAGAAGAGATTTTATGCAATAATTTCTAATAATATAAAGCATAAATTGAAAGAAAGTTAGAAATGGATCAATATGATTTGTACAATATTAGTGATAAGTAGATTCAAAAGTTTATATGTAAACTAGGGATTATTGAATACAATATATTTTTATTTATTTAAATTCACATAAATATATAATAGGTTAATAGGTGAATATATTTTCTATATAACTTTAAAAAGTATATCAAATAGAATAAAAAATTTTGCTGTCAAATGAGTAGTAAATATTTTGAAAGTATAATAATCTAACATTTATATTAATTGGTTATGGTAAGGTTTGATATCTCAATAACTCATATCTTGTTGAATTTTATTTTAAATTGTTGTTTTTAATTAGTTTTAATTAGAAATTCTTCTTTTTTTTATATCTCTAGATAATTTAAAATTTAATTATTTTTTATACTTAATTAATCATAATCTTTGTGGTACTAATACTTTATCACACTTTATTATTTGAGCGACTTAAATTTATTAACTTATGAGTTTTAGCGTATCAAGAATAATTATGGGAAAGTAAATTTGAAGTGCAAGTAATAATGTCTAAAATGGGAAATGGCGAAGGGCATTGAAGAATTTCATTGAATATGGTGGAGAGTTTATGATATCTAATGCTTTCCCATTTTAAGGTGATCGGACATTGGAGGAGAGAAGTAATGAAAAGGTAGCAGAAGAAGTAGACCAAGCTGTCGATGAATGGTTAGAAGAGCACAAGAGCAAGAGATATTTCAGACAGATAATATAGGAGGAAGACTTCATGGATGGGATGCTAAACATACTCTTAATATGGCGGTGCGAAAGCTAGTTTATGATAGCAATAATCGGTTTATAAAAAAATATATATATTGTTGTATGCATTAGTGAACGTCATATTTACTAGGCAAATGGCTTTGTTAATACTGTTAGTTTTTTAATTAATTACATTATAATATTTTAAAATATTATTATTTAATTAATAAAAAAAATTGATCTGTTCCTCTAGAAAAACCATAACCTAAGCTTAGTTCTTAGATGCTGACACCGTTAACATTTAACAAAGCCGCCAGTTAAACGCTTCTATCACAGCCCACGAACCAAGCCTAGTATAAGGTCTAGACGTCGCAGCCCACGGGCTAGGTCCAGAGGACTTAACCCTCGCCAGAGAGAAATCTGACTTAACCCTCCGTAGGAGGAAACCCTTGAGTGAGGGTAACCTCCATCGGATTGCCTTCCATAGTGGGGGAAATCCTTAAGGGAGGGTAGCCTATCATTCATTTGAACTTATTGTAAAGTGGCTGTCAGTCTCCCATGCCAGCCATCCATTTGTGCAGTGAGTGGTAGTAGTTTAGGATATACTAGGGAAGATGGGCGGCATGTCCTCATCGGCTCATCTATAAAAAGGAGAGGACTCCTTAAGGTCTAAACGTAATCCACTCTTGCACTGAGCAGCCTCCTGTTGTACATTTCCCATTTTGGATTATGGAAACAGTTTTCGTCTTCTTTAGTCATCTGCTTTGTTCTCCTCAAGTTTATTGATAGCAGGCTTGGCTAGGGGCGGAACCAGAAATTTAAGTTGGGGTAAAATTCTAAAATTTTCTAAATCATTTAGATTTCATTTGACCATATTGGGTATAATTTTTTTTTTACAAAAACTTTTATAAAAATATAAATTCATTATAATTAATTAATATTTTATATGCTTTTATTAATTTTGATTAATATTTTAATATATTTAAAGGATATTAAAAGATAAAAAAATTATACATATGGTACAACATTGATAAACAAAGTCTCAACAGTTTATATTAATATAATTTATATTAATTTTTAAATCAAAAACTGTTTTTATGTATGTACAACTTATATCATCCACAACAAATTTTATATTAACTAGATATATTTAACTATTTTTGAATAATATAAAATTTAAGACCATTAAATAAATAATATAAAAATATAATTTTTTTGGGTAAGGTCATATATATCAAATCAACTTTGGTTTAATAGAATATAAATTGTATAAAATATATATATATATAATTAATGTAAAAACTTATATAAATTTATCTCAATATATCTATATCTTAACTATTTTTATATTTGTTTTTATCTAAATAAAATTATCATGTCTCTATGAAAAGTTAGTCAGAAAAAGAAAAATGATCCTTTTGCTTAGGTCCTAAATATATATATATATATGAATGGTCCTATAATTCAAATTAACTTCAAATATAAAATTTTATAGAAAATTAATATACCATGTTTAACATTTTTTAAAAGTTTAAGGGAAGCGACTGCCTCCCATTGTCCTACACTAGCTCTGTCTTGGGCTGGCAAAATAAAACCTAATCCAAATGGACAATAATACATACATCTTGTAAAGTTACATATTCTGTTATACATTTTGTTACACACTAATAGAAACCGTCAATAAGTGTGTAATGGAAACTGTCAGTTTTAATGATATAAATAACGGAAACTGTCAATTTTAATGGTATAAGTAATAAAAACCATTAGTTTTAACGATACAATTAACGAAAATCATTAGTTTTAAGGATATAAATAACAAAAACCATTAATTTTAACTGTACAAATAACGAAAACCATTAGTATATAATGGAGTGTGTAATTTTGTAGGACGTATGTATTATTTCTCAATCCAAATATATGATCTAACTTACTTGCTATGATGTACCATGAATTGGGTCATAAGTTTAAGATGTTAATTTAAAATTTAATATGATTTAAATTGAAATTATCTCGATCCAATTAAGTTGGAACATGATTAGATTAACTTGAAGTGATTTAATTAAAATTAATTAATTTTTTAAATTTTAAAATCTTTATTAATTATACTTTTAATTTTAATTTTTAAATATAAAATAACATTAAGATTAATTCTTTTGTGGAATTTCTTTTAACCTGGTCCGTATTTACGAAGCCAACCCCCTTTCCAAGAAAAGGTCCAAGCCAACTCCACTCAAACACGTCTTTCATATCTAATTTTCTTGGTCTTCTTTTCTTGCGTTTAGTCCAATAAGGAAAGGGACATTTTCATCATTTACACTTCATGCCAAGAAACTCAGCGGAACAGAGGACTAAAAGTCCAAAAACATACCGTTCACAAATTTAGAGGATTACATATGCTGGAAGTGTGGATGGTTTGAAATGCTCATAGACGTCGATGATTTTTGTTGCACTTTGGAAACGAGTTTAACATTTTCCTTCGAAATTTCAACACACTTCTTCTGATTGGCTAGCTGCTGTACGCTTTAATTGCGTCATCAATTGAAAAAAAAAACGTTGCCCAACGGGAAATCGTGATGGCAAACCCAGAGACTCAAGAATGGTGGGCGCCGACTGGCAGGTTTTGCTTTTCGCTTAATATTATACTGTTTCAAAATAATTGTGAGTTTTTTTTTTTCTTTCGTAGAACTCTTTTTACATCTTAAGAGTTGTAGAAAGGGAAACAAAATACGTATGATTATTTTTTTATATAATTTTTAAAATTTTTTTATATATTATTAAATGAATAAAAATATATAAAGTTTTAATTATATGTAAAGAGTTAATTATTAAATAAAATGTAAAATTATATAAAAAAATTATCCTCTTAATCAATTTTTATGTAAAAAATAATAAAAAAAAGAATTTTGGTAATAAAGTATTCCCTCCATTAATAATTTTTAATAGTTTTAATTTAATTTTTTAACTTTTAAGATATGAATTTCAAATAAAATTTTGATATATTATATAAATGATAATTGAAAGTTTTTTTAATGAAATAAAAATACATGAGAAGAACTTCATATAGTAACAAAAAAATTCGATTGTTGTTTATATAATTTGTTAAATTTTTATTCAAATTTTATATCTAAAAGTAAAAAAAATGAAACTAAAATTACAACAAATGAATGAAATGAGTATATAATTAAAGTTAGGGGATAATAATAGAATTAAAGTAGGAAAAAATATTAAGAGTAAAAAAAAATAGTACCATTATTACATGGGCAATAATATGTGACAATCTTTTTTATATAATTTTTATTTATAATTTTTACATATTATTAAATTAGTAGATGTATATAATATTATAAGTTTTAATAAAATAAAAATAACCAATCATTACATTAATGGTATGTAAGTTTGTATAAAAATATTGTATAAAAAGTTATCTATCAATTATTTTTTTATTATATTAAATAAAATTTCTTGATAAACATAAATAAATAAAATAAAATAACTAAACTAGGCAGAGGAAGTATTAGTTAATCTCTAGGAAAGTTTTTCTTATACATCAGGTAAATAAGAAGAAACAACAAACGTGAGAAACGAACGGACAAGCCGGTTTGGCTGCAACAATTGCTAGCAAACCCCGTATCTCATCTCACTAGGATTACAATTCAATCTAGGTCATAAAAACATGACGGAAGCCGTGGGGATATGTAAGGACAGGTCCGAAGTGCCCAACCTCAGACGTACGGCAGTAATTCCTTTATAACCGGAGTGAAGAATAAATCCAAAGCTTCCCGCTCAAACAGCTGCATGACAGCAACAATAAGCATGACAGCAACAATAAGCATGCCCGCACCTGATTCTTTATGATGAGCTGCACAGCAATTATAAGAGGCAGCCTTGCATCTGAATATCTCTCAAATTCCCGGTTCCGAAATAACTGTCTGGATAGACACGTCAAGCTCCAATTATCTTGCTTGGCATGCCACGTGGGTTCCTCACTAGAGCCTATAAATACCCCTCAAGAGCCACGTCAAAAAAGTAATTGAAACCAACCCTAAGCTCCTTTTTTCTCCGCTATAAAGGTAGCCCCAATTATTACTGACTTAAGCATTAGAGTATCTACCCCGAGGACCCACCTCGGGACTTTGCAGGTCAATTCGAAGTGCAGACACAGACTAAGGAAGGTCTTCTGGTTTGGTGCAATTACATTTGGCGCCGTCTGTGGGAATCGAACTGAAAGCTCCCTCATTGCTCTCATCATGGTTAACACTCGATCAGTCCAAGCTGGAAACTCATCTTAGCCTCCTGGACGAGGTCAACCCCCCAACAACCTTCCACCTTAGCCTTTACCTCAGATCCCAAATATGTTCCCTCATGTTGATCATGCAGAAAGAGGAGATGAGAATCAACCACACAACTCAGCTCACAACTCTACTTCCACTGCCAACCAAGACGTAGTTGCAGCTCAGCTTGCTGCCATGCAACAACAATTTGGTGTCTTTCAGCTAGTGTTGGCTCAGCTCTTAGCTCGAAATAACTCTGGTGATCCCCTCATCAATTTACTTAACCCTACTCCACAACCCCCAGCTCCACAATAAAATCCCCAACCGGTTTAGCATGCTCCTGCTCTTAGTAAATCTCAGGGTCAATCTCACATAGCACCAGCCCAGCAACCCTTCCCTGATGATGTCACTCAACATCTAGATAGCTTAGAAAAGCTAGTAGTTGAACAACGAGGTGTCTCACCTCCACACCATGCCACTAACTCCATACCCCACCCTCTGAACACCAACATCACATTGGAACCTTATCTTGCTGGCTTCAAAATACCTCAGCTTGAGACTTATGATGGGACAAAGGATCCCGATGATCACTTACATGCTTTCTACTCTTGCATGCAAGCTTAGAACACCTCTGACACGTTGATGTGCAAAATCTTTCTCTCTACTCTTCGAGGTAATGTTCGAACCTAGTATTACAGTCTACCTCCGAGGTCAATCAGCTCTTATATCGAAATGGCATCTGCTTTTGCCACAAAGTTTTCTAGTAGAAGGTTGATCAGGAAAACTACTTCTGAGTTAATGCGAGTTAAACAGAGGGATAGAGAATCTTTGAAGAGTTATATGAGCATATTCAACGATGTAGTATTGGAGGTTAGCTCCTTTGACCAGGCTGTGGGAATTGCAGCCATGATCTCAGGTCTTAACCATGAGAGATTCAAAGATAGTTTGATGAAACACCCTGCCACCACCTTTAGCAAGGTGAATGATAGATCTTTGAAATTTATAACTGTTGAGGAATATGCCCTGTCGCAGAACCCAACTCCCTCTAAGAACCAAAACCCAAACTGGAGAGACGAGAATCCAAGCAGGAAACGGATGAGGACAGCACAGAACCGAGGTCCGATGCCGACCTCTACACGGAGATTCGAAAGGCCGAACTCAGCACCTCCACAACAGTCTGCAGGTAAACCCTTAGTTACTTGGACCCTTTTTAACTTACTGAGGTCACAAATCTTTATGCAGATTAAGAACAAGATGGACTTAAGGCATCCTGGTCCAATGAGAACTACTGCTGCTAGCCGAGATCATACTAGATATTGTGATTTTCATCAAGATCACGATCATACAACAGAGCAATGCAACAGTCTGAGGTCTGAACTGGAAAGTCTAGCTCAGAAAGGAATGTTGAATGAGTACATCCAAAGAGCTGAACAGCCAAGATTTGTCAAAGAACAGGGACCACAGCCTCAAGGAACCCGTAATCCACCAAACAGACAAGGAATGGGACATCAACAAGCCCCTCCTCTACTTCCACCACCAGCCAAAATCATACACATGATTACAGGAGGATTGGAAGCAGGAGGGATGAGCTCCAAACAAAGGAAGTTATATGTCAGAGAGGTCAAGCACCAGAACCGAGCTCAGAAAAGGAAAATTGATGATGCTGAATGGAAAGATCAACCAATCACTTTTACACCTGCTGATTTTGAAGGGGTGGTAACACCTCACAATGATCCTTTGGTCATCTCTGTAATGATCAACAATTGTCAAGTCCAGTGTGAACTTGTTGACACTGGTAGTGCACCTGATATCATGTACTACCACTGTTTTGAGAGCTTAGGGCTCGATCCAGCTTTGCTACAACGATATGATGGTCCCATATATGGTTTCAACAACCAACCGGTTCCAGTTGAAGGGATCCTAACTATGAATGTTGCGTTTGGAAGTGGCCGAACCTATGTGGCTCTCTCAGTTCAGTTTCTAATGGTCAAGATGCCTTCTTCTTTCAATGTTGTCATTGGCAAGCCCACATTAATAGAGATCTGAGCTGTGATCTTTCAATCTCATCTCTGCATGAAATTTTGCAACCCCCATGGGGATAGCAACACTCAGAGGCAATCAGGAAATAGCCAGACATTGTTATCTCACTTCAGTCACAAGGCCACAGAAAAACAACGACCAACCACCAGAAAATCCTCCCCAGGAAATCCATGACAATCGGCAAGTGATGGGGGTTGAAATGCTTGATAATCGACCCGAAGATGAAACCTAAGCTGCTTCGGGTGAAGATGTTGAAGAGGTATAGATTGATGACAGAGCTCCAACTAGGAAAACACAGATAGGAGCTCGGCTGAACCCCGAGGAGAGAGAAGAGCTGATAACCTTTCTTCGAGCTAACAAAGATGTTTTTGCATGGACCTCAACAGATACGCCGGGAATTCCCACTTTGGTTTCTCAACACAAACTCAGCACCAATCTACTTAAGAAACCAGTGGCCCAGAAGCAGCGCCTCTTTGGGGGGGAGAGGTTAAAGGTCATTAAAGAAGAAGTTGAAAAGCTCTTACAAGATGGCTTCATTAGACGGGTTGATTACTGTGAATGGGTCGCCAATCCTGTATTGATGAAAAAAGCAAATGGCAAATGGCGGATGTGCATCAATTACACTAACCTCAACCAGGCGTGTCCAAACAACTGTTACCCGATACCAAACATTGATAAGCTGATTGAGGCAGCTTCTGGAAACGAGAGATTAAGTCTCTTGGATGCATACTCCGGCTACCACCAGGTTCCAATGGCTCCTGAGGATGAAGAAAAAACCTTGTTCTATGCTGGTGATGAAATCTATTGCTATGTGATGATGTCCTTTGGCTTGAAGAATGCAGGTGCCACTTACCAGAAGATGGTTACCATCGTATTTCGAGCTCAAATAGGTCAGAATTTGGAAGTTTACGTTGATGATATAGTGGTGAAGAGTTTGAAAGCTGAAGATCACTTAACCGACCTCGAAGAGACATTCAACAATCTCAGAAAGAACATAATGAGGTTGAATCCAACAAAATGCATCTTCGGTGTGGAATCTGAAAAATTTCTAGGCATCATGGTGTCCAGAAGGGGAATTGAGGTTAACCCCGAGAAGATCAAAGCAGTAGCTGAGATGGAGCCACCGAAGTCAGTAAAAGATGTGCAGAGGTTGACAAGGAGAGTGGCAGCTCTTCATAGATTCATCTCGAAATCAGCAAATAAATGCCTACCGTTCTTCAAGATCATGAGATTGGCAGCCCAAAAGGATGAATCTGGAAAACAAAAGAAGTTTGAATGGAATTCAGAATGCCAAGCTGCATTTGACGAGCTGAAGTCTTATCTTAGCTCACCCTTTTTGCTGACAAAGGCTAAGGATGGAGAAATCCTTTACTTGTATCTTGGCATATCAGATGAAGCTATCAGTTCTATGCTAGTAAGAGAAGAAGGTAAGCAACAGAAGCCAGTTTATTACACAAGTAGTGTGTTACACGGAGCTGAAGTCAAATATTCTAGGTTAAATACCCTTTTTGGTCCCTATACTAAAAAAATCCATTTTTTGGTCCTTACTATTCACAAATCCGGGCCCTTTTTAACAAATCCGGGCCCTTTTTAGTCCTTCCGTTAAATTTTAGCTAATGTGGCAGGTTAATTAATGGAAACACTTATTCTTTTTTTTTTTTACGAAATTACGTGGAAAATCCATTTGGCAAAAATTCATGACATGGTAAATTTTTTACTTTTAATTACTGATATACCCTCGTCTTCTTCCCCGGCTTCTCCTTCCTCCAGCCTTTTTTTTTCTTTTTTTTTCTTTTACCTCCAGGCGAACCCAAGAGCCTGGGTTCGCAAGCTGATGCTACTGTTTCGTGAATCGTCCCCTTTAGAGAACAGAAACAACTGGAGCTGGGCTGACCTCGATTCTGATTCTGCGCCAACCGATCGTATTCATCCATCATGTTTTCTAGATCCTCGTCGGTAGTTACAGAGATCAACGCATCAAGATCTTCATTTGGTAATTGATACTTAACATTCACGTTGCTAATTCCTAAACCCAACAGAGAAATCAACAAAATCAATTAGGAAAAAACAGGAGACAATAAAAAAACAGCAAATTTCGATCGTCAAGATTGAATCTTTACCTAAGAGTTTGGACAGTTTCGAGAGGAAACCCATGAAGGTGATGGATCGGCTGAGTGCGACGATATGGGTGTCGCCGCCGACATAGCAGAGCTAGTTATCGTGCGGTCGAGGGACAGAATATAGGGAAAAAGGGTTTTCCTTGAGCTTACTAGTAAGCTTAATCTCTGGAGGCATCTTCTTAAGTGGATTAGTAGCATCCGCATTTCCAATTCCATTTCCATTGTCTGCCCTTTGCGTCATCAGTATGGGAATATCATCCGAAATGTCCTCAGCGGGTGCTGGCAACAACTCATCAACTGCTGAAGCGAAAATTCCTGTATATCTGTGAGTATTTTCAGTAATCTGCTTGAAAAACTCTTCATCCTTGTCCTTGTACTATTAAGATCAAATTTAACACAAACAAAATTCATTACTTTCCCAAAAATAAAAAATCTAAAAATTAATAAATATAACATAAAAATATCAAATGCGGAACAAGAGGAAGAAATCCTCACATTATCTAGGTCCTCAAGATCAATTTGTATCGCTCAAATTTTACAATTCGCAACTTCTTGCTGGAAAAACAGATTACATAAGAGGTTACTCCAGGTACTCAATAGAAAATTACTATTAACAAGATAAAATAATATATATTTCCTGTCTAAATCCATGGACAACAAAAAAGAAATTGGAGGTCTAGGGTTTCTAGTTCCTGGTGGTGGACAGAAAGAAATGGGGGGACTCACAAGGATGTTCATGTGTTTCAACTCGCCGTTGACGTCTGTGAAGTTTGTGAGGAACTCCTTCGCGAGAACTGTTAACAGATCGAAAGAAAAAGAGATCAGAGGGGAGTCAGAGTGAGATCTGAAGAGGTCGCAGAGAGAGGGAGGGAGAGCACGTACCTTTGTCTGCGTCGAAATTGAGATTCTTCATGGTTTGCCTTCATGGAAAGAGAGATGGGGAGCGGCAGGGAGGAGGTAAAAGAAAAAAAAGAAAAAAAAAAAAGAGGCTGGAGGAAGGAGAAGCCAAGGAAAAAGACGAGGGTATATCAGTAATTAAAAGTAAAAAATTTAACATGTCATTAATTTTTGCCACATGGATTTCCCACGTAATTTCGTAAAAAAAAAAGAAGAATAAGTGTTTCCGTTAATTAACCTGCTACATCAGCTAAAATTTAACGAAAAGACTAAAAAGAGGTCGGATTTGTGAACAGTAAGGACCAAAAAAGGGATTTTTTTTCGGTACAGGGACCAAAAAAGGGTTTTTTCCTATAGTAGAGGGACCAAAAATGGTATTTAACCAATATTATATTGCTGAGAAAGCAGCCTTAACAGTTGTCACCTCGGCCAGGAAACTGAGACTATATTTCCAATCACACCCAATCATAATCCTCACAGACCAACCCCTCAGACAAATCTTACAGAAGCCAGAATGCTCAGGAAGATCGATCAAATGGGTAGTTGAGCTGGGAGAATTTGAGATAACATTTCAGCAGAGGTCAGCAATTCGAGCTCAGGCTCTAGCAGATTTTATAGTAGAATGCACCTCGCCTCACTCTGATTCTTAGCCTGCGCTGGACAACTGGATTCTGTATGTTGACGGAGCATCAAGTAACAAAGGTTTTGGCGCTGGTGCAATCCTACTTGGCACAGATGGGTACAAAAGTGAACATGCTCTGAAATTTAACTTCGATGCAACAAACAATATAGTTGAGTATGAGGCTCTGCTACTCGGTTTGCAGTTGGCAATAGAACTAAAAGTTGCGGCAATACAAATATATAGTGATTCACAACTAGTAGTCAATCAGGTCAACTCAGTTTGTGAAGTGGTTGATCCTGTTATGATGAAGTATGCAACTCTGGTGGTCGAGCTAAAGTCCAAATTCCAGAAATTCCAGTTGAGCAAAATACCCCGAGCTGAAAATGGCCAAGCAGATTCCTTCTCCAAATTTGCTTCTGATGGCAATCAAAGTTCCAGATCGGTCTTTGTTGAAATTCTGGACGAACCAAGCTTCTTAAAGCCAAAAATGATGGAGATCAGCACAAATCCCAACACACCGAGCTGGACAGATCCAGTTATCTCATTTTTATGAGATGGAACAGTACCAGCAGATAAACAAGAAGAGATGAAGTTGAGGAAGAAAGCATCTAGGCATACCCTTGTTAATGACATCCTCTACAAGAGATCTTTTTCACTCCCTCTACTCCACTGTTTGAACCCTTATGAGGCTAAATACACACTTCAAGAGGTGCATGAAGGTGTTTACGGAAGCCACATAGGTGCTCAAACTTTGGCTCATAAAGTCCTTAGACAAGGATATTACTTGCCCAACATGCATAGAGATGCCACTCAGTTCGTACAGAGGTGTCAGAAATGTCAATTCTTTGCACATTTAATTCACCAGCCAGTAGAAGAGCTCACTACTCTAATAGCACCTTGGTCATTTGCTCAATGGGGACTTGACCTTTTAGGTCCATTTATGAAGGGGGTAGGAGGTGTAACCCATCTGATTGTTGGTGTGGATTATTTTACGAAATGGGTTGAAGCTCGGCTATTATCCAGCCTTACCTCCAAGAAGGTCGAAGACTTTGTTTTCAGCTCAATCATCTGCAGATATGGGATCTCGAATTAGATTGTGGCTGATAATGGAACTCAGTTCAACTGTTCCTCATTCAGAGATTTCTGCTGTACTTATGGGATCAAATTGCAGTTCACCTCGGTGTACCACCCAGAATCTAATGGAATGGTAGAATCTGTCAACAAGGTTATACTCGAGGGAATAAAACCAAGGTTAGAGCTGCATAAGGCCAGGTGGGCAGACGAACTCAATAACGTCCTTTGGGCATACAGAACCATGAGCCGAACTGCCACAAGTATTACTTCAAACCTGTTTTACTTGACCAAGATTCATATTATTTTACTTCTTCTTTTACGGCTTTACCTTAGATCAACTACGCATAACGCATAAAGCGCATTCTAAAATTTATAATTAACTAAAATAGGTGAAACACCCTATCATCTAGCCTTTGGTATCGAAGCAGTCATTTCTATCGAGATAGGAGTCCCAAGCTTCAGGGTCACCCATTTCGATGAAGGACGAAATGGACAACTGCTTGGGGAGAACCTTGACTTGCTTGATGAAGTCAAAGAAGAAGCACGACTTCAAACTCTAGTTTACAAGCAGAAAATAGCCAACTTCTACAACAAACGAGTTCGATCTCGAACATTCAAATTAGGAGACCTTGTTCTCAGGAAAGCTGGTCTAACGGGGTTCGAAACTCGATTCGGAAAGTTCGCACCAAATTGGGAAGGCCCCTACACTGTAGCCAAAGTGCTGCACCCAGGTGCTTATATCTTACGGAACACTGAAGGCAAAAGGGTTCCTAGAGTCTGGAATGTCAATAACTTGAAGAAATTTTACCCTTAATACACTTCTTCCCGGAGAACTTTGCCTTATTTTTACAATTGTCATTATTCTCTCTTTCTGCTCACTGTATATACGAGCTCAATTCATTTATCTCATTAATGAGTTTCACTTCACATTCGAAGTGATTCAGTTCTTCCTACTTTTCTATACATTGGAAGTGAATTTTACTCATTCTTGAAGTTAATTCATTGTGACTTATTCAGTCACTTCATTTTCTGGGTTACGATTTTATTAATCAATTACACCTTACTTTTGAAATGATTCACTTTATTTTTTCTCATTTGTATATTCGAGGTCCACCTCATGTATATCCAAAGTCAATTACCTTGTTGTTTATTTAGTGTCCGAGATCAGTTCCTTGTGTTAATTAAGGTCACTTTATTTTATCCGAAATAATTTACTTAAAATAAAACAGTAATCAGAAATCAACATTGAATACCAAAAATAACTTCAAAATTTTTTATAACTTAGTGAAAAATCAATTACAAAATTTTCATTACAAATATAACTAAAAAATATAAAATCCTAAGCTAATCTG